CGTTGTTGATCAATAGTATTCGATTGCTCTATTGCTGGTCTCGGCTGTCAACTCTCGTCAATGTATCCAGTAAATAGTATGTGCTACAGAATGAGAAATTGATTTGAACTGTAAAATGAAACGAGACGAAGTGAATGATAAAAACTCATCAAGAGAACGGTATTCGCATGTGATAGCTATGAGAGCGACTACAACACGTATAAAAAGAATGAGAATTCATCTGAATCAGTTTGGAGTGAGCGTGTCACAGACAATAGCTGTTCATGCAATCATAATCGATTGCATTAATGTGCAACACAATGCTCTAGGACACTAATTTCTTTCACGCCGTTGAGAAATTTCCGGACCGGTTAACGGCGGCCTTACAGATCATTAAAAGCAGCATAGATCATGATCAATGAAATGTTACACTTCAAATATCGATGTAATTCGAAGTTCAAAAACAACAGTTCAACTGTTATACTTATTGCGCAAAATACTGGCATTGGAGTAGTTTTGCAATAAAATTTTTCTAAGTTGCTCTTTCCTTTCACTTTCATTTCCTTTGGCAAAAAGATTCACTCTCTTATAAACTATCAGTGCTCCTTGAAGTGGTCATATGATCACTTCAAGCATTATTTGTTGATAAAATTACTTCTCAAAGTGCAATTGCTTTCGTGAAATCATTCGTAAAGCAGCACCAGTCGTTATAAAATACTCTACAGAGTAATGATGGATGGATGATAGATACATGTATGCACGCGATTCATCTGTAAAGTTATGACTCTCGAAAACTTTATTGTTTCGAGGTAATGTAAGGAGCGGAATCCTTGCGTGGATGTTTAAATCCAAACAATTTTCGAATGCATCTGTATGATAGGACCAAAATGGATGTGGATTCTGCAAGTGCTTCAACAACAGATTAAGTTTAACCTTGCAAGCCACATCAATAATGTCAGGGATTGACAAGTAGGCCGCAACTGGTTCGAGACCTTTTCCAACCAGATAAGCTTCATCAGCCTTTAGACGATGCATGGAGAGCTTGTCCTGCAATTGTTCACAATAATAGGTTCGCTCGATTATGCTCAAAACCGACATGCGAAATTCTTTTTCAATTGAGCTTGATCTAATTATGAGATTAAGTCTCTTAATATTTCTCTTAACTGACCATTTACTTCTGGTTTGCGCTAGCTGTCCCCTTACTAAATTCCACCAGTGTGACTGAGATTATAACTATTCATTAGAAAAATAACTTCTTTTCGTATCTCTCATAAATCAACGCTTACAATGCCGAGAAGTAAAGGGCAATGAAAGTCACTTGTATGAATGAACAAATCTGATTTGCTAACACTTGAATAGAACAGCACAGCTTATGTTTTCAAGTTAACTGTAAGCAAGGTTCCGATTGCGATATGCAAATTCTAAATATTTAACTAATCTCATTTCACCACAGCAGCTGAAAATTAAGGCGAAACGATGAAAATGCAATATTACTTGTTCAGAGTAAATGGCAACTGAAGTTTTATGCAGTTCACTTAGGGCTCGAAGAACACGGATTGCGATTTCACCGCGATTTGCCACCATCACCTAAACACATTGAATTAAGCTACTCATTATAATGGAGTTTAGAGGTTGCTCGGATTATGTTATCTCCTTTTGACAGTTCGGATCATTTGGATCACATTTTCAGATCGAATTCAGTTGATCTCCAATGGCAAAAATGAACATCCAAATGAAGTTTGTGAATGGTGAAACCTTTTTGAAGTCTCTTGTCTTTCTGGGTGCAGCTGCGGTCGAAGCAAACATGCGGGCCGTTCGTATGGACGAGAAGCCCGACACAAGTCGGGCCATATAGCATGGTCGAGTGCGAATGATGGTCGCCAAAACCATTCCCTAAAAGCGATCAGCTTAATAGTTACTTCAAAGCAGGGGGTCTGAAGCCGACAGCATACTTGAAGAAAGTGGACCGAAATTATCAATCTGATCGAACGTTGGTCACGATTAATGTGCGACGATAAAAACTGCTCAGAGAGATTTATATTATGGCCGTAGTCTGGAATGCATCATTCTGATTGCTTTTTCAATATTGACGACGACTTGGAAGGAAAATTTGGAACAGAATAGCGTTTAACTGAATGAGAACTTTGCTATCATTCTATCATTTATGTGAACTCCCTCAAGAGTACTTCGCGACCCCTGAGGAGGTTGTATAAGGAGTGCTGAGATCTTGCAAATTTAATCAAAACAGTGAGACTTCCCGAACACATAGTAACATAACTATTTCAAAGAATATCAGTACGGATTGCTTATGCACAGCATTGGGGTTATGTTTAAATCCATCAATTTGATATGAGATCGTAAGTGAAGATAAAAGTTTGAGGAATGTTCATCGATGCGATATGAAGTGACAGAATGTTGACCATTATGAATAAGCCATTCAAATCAACTAAAACAAAGATCACTAGCAGTGACAATGTACATATTAATATTAATATGAAAAACAAACGAGCAAACTCGTTTTTAACCACTGTAACTCTACAAAATTGTTGATGAACGAAACGATACTTTAATGACTTAAGAACTCTATCCTAATCAGTGATTCGATAAAGTGTAATGTTATTGTTACAATTACAATTAAAAATAACATTAGGTATGAATGAAGATTTGGAGTAATTTCTTTCATTTTTCCGCATTAAATTTATCAAAATTTTGCGTAAATTTAAAATTCTCTTCAACCGTTTCAGTTTTCATTTTCATTTACTGCTTCATTTGGATGAGTTTTAGCGATAGAAATTTTAATTTTTCGCAAATGAGGACGTCTCTCACATTCTTCTAGGAGGTACAATAGTCCACTAGGGGTGAGGTACAGTGGTACATTTATTGACAACTGAGGCAAGAGTGCAATCCGCACACGATTTTATGTTGACTGTTTCCAGTATCAACATATCAGCCGAATTTATTGGTATTTTATCAGTTTCTTTACAAAATCAAAAGTTATCAGCAGCTACAAAGCAAAGTTCAACTCTTCTGTTATGCACATCCTATGTTGCGTTCCGATCAAAACAGTTGTTTCGATTATGGAACTGCGAATCGCTGCCTTCTCTAGAATTTTTATGCACAGCTGAGTAGTGATTTCTCTGCAACGTTCCGTTGGAAATAACAACACTTGAAAGTGCGATTGAAGATAAGAGCAACAACTGCAACGGCATCTCGCTCACACTTGACATTTTGGTTGGGTAATTAATTTGGTGAAGTTTTTGAGTAATTAATGGGCAGATGAAGTTTTTTGAATTGTTTTGCTCAAAGAACGATCGAATAATGATCCAGCAAATCTG